CTGGAGGCTGGAGCAACAGTTCTATGAATGTGAACACCAGCTGTCAAATCAACCACCTAGTGGAGAGTGTGTGTCTCCAAACACAAACTAAAAGCATGCAAACCCACCTAGACACAAACTTCCTAGTAAGAATTGAAAGCTTTGAAAACAGGAGTGTGATCTGGAGGCAATGTTCTTTCCCTTGCCCCACTGTGGATGAGGAAGCAAGAACAGCCTCTTTTAGTCGAATGAAGGGGAGAGTGGGTCAGAATCCCAAATCTTGCATTTTAATCACAACAGAGATGCTATAAGAGATAATGCAACTCACAAAAAAGTTGGAAAGAAGAATCATTTTCTCCACCAGCTTGCACTTTGAAGCACACTCTAAGCTGCTGAAGGATGTCATCATGTATGTCTGGAAGCATCCTGCCTGTCTGACCTCCCCTGGCTGAACGTGGGAGAGGTTTATATTGGATATCAGGAAAGATTTCTTCACAGAAAGGATTATCCAGCACTGGAACAGGCTTCCTGGGGAAGTGGTTGAGTCACCATCCCTGGGGGTATTTAAAACATGTAGTTGTGGCACTTAGGGACATATTTTTGTGGTGGACTTGACAGTGCTGGATTAATAGTTGCACTCAATGATCTTAAAAATCTTTCCAGTCTAAATGATTCTATAATGTCTCCAGGACCTCCCTGTGAGCTCTGATCTTCTATACTCTGAATAGAACAAAGCACAGAACAAAGTAAAAGTATATCAGGCAACCTAAATTGGGTCAGATGGCTTTAAGACTGGATCAGGTCGCTTTAGTCAGAGGCATTGGAAGAAGACAGCACACAGCTTCCTGATTCAGGCTCACCATTTCTCTGCTGCAGCAATGATGCAGCTTCAGGATTAAGAGGGGTAGGACAGGAGAAATGGAGCTGGACAAGGGGTCAATATTCTCCTTATCTAGTGTGCTTGTACTCTTAAAAAAATTCTGAGGGACAGCCAGATCCATTACCTACTATCAGTCCCAGGCCTGGACAAACTCCAAACAGAGAAGACTTCTTGGCTTTCTGGTTATCCAACACTTATTGTTTAAAAGAAATGTTTGAGAAGTACTTTGCTGCCTTCAAGTTGTATGATCAATTTTTCCACGTTTGAGCTCTTACATTCTGGGGCTTTTTGCTTGTTTGTTTGGGTTGTGTTTGTTTTATTATTCAACTGATTAATTATTTAAATGGAAGCAGTTTGCAAACACTCTCCCTGACACATCAGAACTCATCAAGGTGACCAATTAAAAGCAGACATCACTTGGACTGTATTTCACAAAAAGCCCTTTCTGAATTTCTGTTGCTCATTAGCTTTACCCCTTACCAAGACATATGCAAACACTGCACAAAAGATTCCTAGGCATATGAGTTGTTTGTTATTCCAAGAACAAAGGAGTTGAAAAAACCAACCCAGCACAACAAAACAGGTGATTATTCAACATTTGTTAACTATTGAGAAATCATGAGTTCTTTTTTTTCTTTAGAAGCACTGCATTTTACAGCATTAACAATGTCTTTGATCAGATTAAAATGGCATATTTGAAAGAGGCAAAGCCCACTCATAATATATGTAACACTTTACCTTTGCTTCTTCTCATTTAGGAAGTACAAGGAAGACAAAGCTTGCAAGAACACTCTCCCTCCCACTCTTGATTCACATGTTATTGCCAGCACTGCTTAATTAGTTTCTCCTAGCATTTGGTAAGCACAAACACAATTACCTGACTTAGATTCATCTTGTTGGCTTTTGCCTGATTTTTTTCTTCACATAATTCTTCAGAGACTGCATTGTTCTTCCTCCACCTTCTTGATCTCTTTTCTAAATCATAGTGGACTTCTTCAGTCTCACTGCTGTCCGAATACTCTAAGCTAGTTGCCTGTGGATTGAAATTCACATCCAGTTCTCCATGGAAATGTTTCTTTTCCATTCTGGGCATATCACTTTGAGTTCTGCTTTGCAACCAGAGAAGTTTGCTAGGTCCTTTAGCTTCCTGGGAAGAGTTTACTGAAGATGTTTCCGAATCAGAGAGCAGTGTCTCTGTATTGGTATATAACTCAGAGGAAGGGGAGGTCACTGCCTGGTACTGATTGTTGCCGTAAACCCATTCGGTACCGTACTGGGAATTGTTATAATAGAAATCGTCTGGTAATTGTCGAGGTCTCCGACGCAGCTTGTTCAAGGCCACATTCCAGTCATAGTCATCCTCGCTGTCTGAGCCCATCTCGTCATAGGCAGATACAACGTTGGATTCATTCTCCAAAGCTCTGAATACCTGACTCTTTGGTTTGGCGAGCATTCGAGGACGAGGCAAAGTGACATTCTGCAAAGCTACCCAGTTTCCATCAGTGCTTTGAAAAACAGAAGGCGGGCCTAAGAAAATGAAACGAGAACAACTGTGATCACAGTGCGAAAGGCTTGCTGTACTCTCCACAAATTGGAGGGTTCAACAAAACTAACAAACAAATGCAAATGCTGCTGCTACATGAACTCTTCCATGTTGAGAGCCACACTGTCGTACTACTCAGAAGCCACCACTTAAAGTCATGGTGGTGACTATTTAAAATGTGAGAGTACCTGGAGAGAGAAAGAGTACTTTTAAAAAGAATAATTAGGAAAGGGTGAGGGAACATAAGTACACAGACGTGCATAAATCCTTTGTTTTGCAAATGTCTTCAATTCTGTGTGCAGTTCTGGCCCCTCATGTTGAAAAGGAAAGATGGAAAAAGGATCAGAGAAGAGCAGTAATGTTTGTACCGGGTTCTGAAATGGTGTCCATTGAAGGAATGACTAAGTAAGCCACAGCTCTGCCATCTGGAGGAGAGAAGACTGAGAGGATACATGCTTAAAGAGATGGGGGAATCTCTTCCAGCCTAACCACTAGAGGACATGAAGTGAAGCTAGAGAAATCAAGGTTCTAAACAAACAAAAGAAAGAAGTGGGGTGCAATGGATATCAGGCCTGTGGAGCTTCTTGCCTAAGGTTGTTATTAACGCTAGAAATTATCTGGGATAAAACAGGGATGACTATGGACATGAAAGGAAAATCCACTGAGATTTACTACATACAGGAAAACACTTCTAGTTGAGAAAGTCATTAAGTTGAAAGTTCTATAGGTTCAGAGTCTACTCAGAGGTAGCATGAAATATACTTTCTTTGTCCTAATCTTTCCCTGGCTCTTGCTTATGGCTACTGCTGCTGCTATTGTTGTACCCTAGACTGAATACTAAAGGAGCTTTCTGTATGATACTCTTGTTTTCTTACACTTTTTCAGAGTATGTTTTACAACTCCAACAGAAAAAAAAAAAAGAGATAAAAAGTGCTGTATAACTCATGTAACTCAGATAATCAAATTTCTTCTAAATTTAGATTCCATTTCCAATCAAACTTGAAAATTCCTCTCATGGGTAATATGAATGTGTGATGACTCTCCCTTCCACAGCAGCTGAATAAATATATAATGCCATGGATTTGCACAGTAATCTCAGCCTACTGAATGAACTTTTCAGGCTTATGTATTCCTTCCATGGGTTCAAATTTGCCACTTCCAGAAAACTATAGAAATACCTAATACAAACCATTAGTTTTCTCAAACTGTAAACAGAACACAGCTATTTTAAAATGCACAAAGTAACATCTGGATCTGTTGTAGATGCTAATTAAGCATTTTGTATTATGTGATTACAAATACTTGGATGAGAAGAAGATTACCTTTTCTTTAATCATAAAGAACATCAGCATGCAGTAAGAAGGGGTGCTTAGTTTTAAAAAAAATAAAGTCTGAGGGGCACTACCACCACCACCCCCTGAAACTAAAGCGGTAAGTAAGTGGTAATTAAACTTAGGAGCTATGCAAGATTTAGAGCAATTTTTGCATTGGTTCCTCATTTGAGTCCATTTGGCTTGTTTTGACTTCCTAAGTTTCATGTCAATTCAGAGCACTTCAGAAGATTCATCACTGAAGTAATCCTTAATCCTGCCTAAAAGGAAATCAAAATAATGCTAGTTTTCTTGTAGCAGTGACCAACTGAGTATATAACTGAAGTCAGGTCTGTAGGGAGAACTAATAACTCTTTATTGTAACCCCTAATTATGATGAAAAAAAAGAATATAAGCTATCAAACATAAGAAACTTCTGCTCATTCACTTTCGCCAGCTATGCTTACTAATCTAAGTATAGGATTCCCTTGGGAGAAAGAAGACCTTTACTTAAAAACATTGTTCCTTCAAACAAAGCAAACAGCTCTTCAAGATAGAAATCTCCAACAAGAATTGAATTCAGCTGCACCACATTACACAAACATAATGCAATGGAGTGCCACATACATTTTTTTTTCTCCCCCAAACCACATCCCCTTATTTTGTTTAGCAACAACACATAAGAATTGGTCAAACAACCTCAGTTTACTGAAGGAATGACAGGATAGTAGTTGATTACATCTTAGAGGGTAAGCTGGGTAGAAAGTCACTGAGTACATTCAGAAAGCTGGTTCAGTTTTGTCCCAGTTTCAGGCAATGCCAAGCGCTCCCTTCCTGATTTTTCAAAACAAAGTCACGTACTTGAAAGAATGGATTTTGCACTCAATTCTTTGGGCATAAACTATAATTCATCCATGTGAAAAAGGGAAAAAAAAGAAAAATATTTAAGAAGTTTCATGGTAAAATCATTGTTAAAGGGGTAGAAACCCCCACAAATTCATGATTTGGCTCGAGACATCATTTAAACCAATACAAACTGTATTCATAATGACCTGTGAACTGTTTTTTGGCTACATAACTAAAAGGTCCATTGATGAGCTACTACTCTAAACTCCACTCTAAACTCTTGATTGAGATTTCTTTCAGGTTTTTTATATCCTAATACAGAGCTGCTTATTACTGCATAGGTGAGATTATATTTACACATATTAGCACAATTGGCTATTTACTATAAGCTCAATAGGCACCACAATTTCATCACAAATGTGGTTTATAGATGAAAGAAGCAGAACAGATCCTAGGAATAGAGCACCTGAAAGGAAACTGGGTCAATTAATCATTCTGCTATGGTTAAGCAATTGTTAAGTACTAAATTGTTCAACAGTTGAATTCAATGGGACTGAAGCAGGTTCTTAAATTTAAGCAACAAATTAACTGCTTTACTGAAAACAGGCCTTCCACTAAAATGCCCGGAACAAAACTCCTGGCAGGGGGTTGAACGAGGAGTTCAGAAGGTAATGCATACTTGGTTAAGTCAGATTTTAGTACTACTTTACTATCACTTTCTTTTTAAGGGGAGGAGATGTATTGACACTTGTTGGAGAATGGCTAAGAGAGCGGGGACATAATCCTGGGGAAGGCTAAGAAGAGCAAGGACACAGTCCTGGGAACGCACCTGGGAATGCAGTGTGTACAAGCAAGGCTCTGGAGATAGTAACTTATATATAGATAGGGAGTAACTCAGCTGGGCAGATGGCAGATGGCAGGGGTAACTCGTCCTTGAGGGTGAAGCAAACAAGTTCAAGACAAACAGCTAGGAATGCACCCAAGCCTGAGAAAGCAAGAGATAATCCTCACAGCTGCAGCTGCAAGTAGGGAGAGTACCTGAATGCTATCTCTAGAGCCTAGCCAATTACAAATGATGGATAGTTATGTGCCTGTCCTGTATTGTGTAAAAAGGAGCCTGTCGGACAATAAAGTTGGAGCTTGCTGTATCACCCAGAGGGAGTCAGCCACTTGCTTCCCTGCGCGGAACCTTCACCTTTCCCAACAGACACTGCTTAAATTTCTGTCTCCCAAGTTATCAACACAGATAAACAAATTGATTGGATGGGCAACCCCCATCCCTGTTCCTCACTAAACCCAAACATGTTTTGGCTGCTTCTGCTTGCCAGCATCTAGTGAGCCAGCTGTGGGAGCTACAGCGCCATTAAACTCACCCTGTAAATGAGAAGTTTTCTGCTTGTACAGCTGCATGAACCAATTTGCTGCAGGGGCCAGATGGGTTCTACAGCTGTGACATGAGAAGAAGCAGAAACAAGTGGACTCTGTCATGGAGGGACAACAATAGCAGATGTCACCCAGAGCCAGGGAATGTTGCTGCAATGAGCAGTTCAGCTCTTCTCCTTGTGCAGCTGTAGATGTGAAAACAACCAGATTTTCTGTGCAGCAGTTGCCTAGCACTACACTCCTGTGGCCTCACAAATGCTTTAGCCAGAACAAGAGAGGCAGTGGAAGTGGGACCACCTTAAGGGCAGGAGCCACAATTGCAGAATCACAGAATGGGTAAGGTTGGAAGGAACCACAGTGGGTCACCTGGTCCAACCTCCTTGCTCAAGCAGAGTCATCCTAGACCACATTGCACAGGATTGCATACAGAGAGGGAGACTCTGCAGCATCTCTGGGCAATCTGTTCCAGTGCTTGGTCACCTGCATAATAAAGTTTTTCCTCATATTCAGGTGGACTCCTTCAGGGCCTCCTCATATTCAGGAAGTTCCTGTGCATCGGTTTCTGCCCATTGCCTCTTGTCCTATTGCTTGGTACCACCAAGAAGAACCTGTCTCCATCCTCTTTACACTCTCCCTTCAGACACTTATATATGTTGATACCTTCTTCAACGACAACTTGTTTTTAGGTCATCTTGAAGTAAGCAGGGAACTGCATTCTACCTTAGGGTGCTGATTCAGGAATGAGGCTGACTTGGAAAGCTGCTCACCATCCATCATCCATATTTTCATCCACACCTAATGCATGATGATAGAGGACAGATCTAGGGAAACTTCTGGCCTGCGAAGTTCCTATTCATACAGCTTCCTCAAACTCGTGTGGAAGCAGCAGTTAATAAGACAGCAGTTAGTAGAGCTGCATAGAACACCACATTTTTTAATTCACCGGGGTTAAAAATAAAGGTGCAAGGGGGAATTTTAAATGTGAATTATTTAACTGATTGGTTCACCATGTAACCTCATGAATAGCTCCCCTGTGCAACAGAAGGGATACTATGGGCAGCTGCAAACTTCTTCAACTGGAGGACAGATTACAGAATTACAGAATCACCAAATCATAGAATGGGTCAAGTTGGAAGACACACAGTGGGTTGTCTGGTCCA